TACATCCGGGCGTTCGGGTTCAAGCGTTCGGGTTCGGGCGTTCGGCCCGTCCCGAACGCCGGTTACCCTCTCTCTCTCTCTCTCTCTCTCTATATATATATATATATATATATATATGTGCGTGTGTGTGTGTGTGTGTGTGTGTGTGTGTGTGTGTGTGTGTGTGTGTGTGTGTCGCGACCATACATGTGATACGACCACTCTTTTAAGCCATTTAGACCCCGAATCTCGCAACTGCTAAGTCGCGCATCACAATTTTAATAAGTATGGACTTAGTATTTCAACCGTCCACATACCTGTGGCCTCCCCAACCGTGGGGGCCGGTCAGTCACACCACCGATCCTCGTCGTCGCCCTCGCAGACCGTAAACGTCATAACGTTTGGTAAAATGCCTTAGCCTCTCAGTTGTCGGTAAGGTCTTAATAAACTTTGTCAATGCCTCATTCTCATCAAATGGAATCATTCAAATAAAATCTGATCAACAGTCGGACAATGCAAATTGGGTTACGTAGCCCCAAACTTTATGCAAAATCAGGTTATTTGGCAGTCCCCCCAAAGGGACTCACATTTGATTCTAACGCAAATAGTTGTCTATAATATTATTCTATAAGCTTTGTCGGCAATCCCAAATGTGTTTAGATATCAGGCAGTCATACTATAAATGGGTGGTAGATTCATAATCCGAACTACTACTATACCTTTTACACAGTAAGTCCAATTTAAGTATGCGTTAGACCAAATTAACCGATGAGGGTGTTGACAGCAGGGAAAGCAACCACGTATTAGTTGTTGACCTCAGGCTTGGAGCAGTCAGAGGTTGTTTCCAACAGCAACGCACAATCTCCTCTATCGTTTTGTCCTCATAGTCTAATACGTGTTGCCATCTCGACAACACCACTTCCAGGGGGAACGAGAGGGGGTCAACGCTGTCGAGCGCATCGGCCCCTGCCTTTTCTCGTGAAAGAGGCGGGAGCCCTCCCGACCATGGGAAACATTGTCCGTGCGAATACGCTTACAAGGGTATCCGCCCTGGTTTTTGCATGCGACAAAAAATAGGTTTGGTTTAAAGTTTAAATATTCTGCACGAGGCGCGGCTACGTCTGTGGTTTACGTTAGGCTGAATGGTTGACGAGAGTAGGGAGTGTGTGGGTGCGCAAGCTTGAGGCGCGCGTGATCCTTTTACTTTTTGATTGATGATTGTGAAAACCGGCGTTTGTCGCTGGCCAGATTTTTACTTTTATGATTAAACTAGGATTAGAAGGTTTTGTCCCTTAATTGGTGTGCTTACTTGTGACTTACGCATGGGTACAGAGGACGACGTCGATGACATCATGGTTCGGTATACAGTAGGTGCGGAGGTTGGTGGTCGAGGGTTCGGTCGATAGGCCGATGTGCGGGGTTTAAAACGTTCCAATAGAACCACGTGCCGCACAATATCTTTTTATTTAGGTCTATTAAAGGCTAGACCTAGCCGTGGGCCTAGCATGAGCGGTATGGCACAAGGGAATCGCGGGGTTGAGGATCGGGCAGGGCTATCCCCCACGGTTTTGCTGCCCGCGGGTAGCGAGGCGAGGCCAGTGACGGTAAGTGCCCGTTGAGCCTGTTGGCACTGAGCAATGCCTGAATAAGGCATGGCTAGAGGAGATTCGGATGGAGGCCCGCAACTATATTGACGAGCTAATCGTTCGTCCGACAGGGTATACGGGCTAAAGACCAGCCAAGCGGACCAGGGCTGGCTCCACCCGAAAGTTCCCTCAGGGTGGCCGGGTCTGAAAAAGAACAACCGCGGGCCGAAAACTTACCGACTAGGCATAGAAGAGGCTGAAGTCGGGTACTTACCTGCGGGCAACGCACTGTCGAAGGAAGTGGTCATGGCGTATCTCCTTGTGATTAGAGGAAGGAGGGCCAGTGGTATAGCTCATAGTAGCGGACGGTGAGTCTGGCCGGCAACAGCAAACGGAGCAACAACGCAGCGAGGCTACGGGCAGCAGGAAGAAGAGCGCACAGCTATAGGGGAGGCGCAGGGCAGCCGCTCGGTTTGCTACAGAGCCTCCCACCATTGAGGTTGGCGGAGGGAGAAGGCGGGCGCAGTCGGGGAGGTAGAGCGCTTTCGATCCTAAGTGGAATCGAAAGGGAGAAGGTGCGATCCCGGGGTTTTGGCCCCGGGCGAATCAAATGGTAGAGTTAGTTTTAGTAGTACGTTAGTAGGATAGGAGCTATGACGAAAATGGGGTGTGCGCAGACCGTTGAGGAAGGAGAATATGGCGAAGGAGAAGACTAACAGCAAACTCGATTCCTAACAGAATCAGGCAGAGAAGGATTCGGATTTGGGGTACTTAGCCATCGCGAATGCGATGGCGGTGTTAGTTTGGCAGTAGGTAAGTAGGTTAGGAGTTAGTGAGAAAGGGGCGTGCGCAGCGGTGAACTGAAGAAAAGAAAGGGCGGATGAACCTGACCGACGAATCGCGCCAGGTGCATGCACGTTGGAGGGCGAGGCTGGTGGAGCTAAGGGCTCTGGCGGAACGAGTAACGAAGTTCGCCCGATACTCGACAGAATCGGGCGGACCAAAGAACGAGACCGGGGCTTTTGAAGTGTCGCGGGCTCTAAAATGCAGACGGACCTTGTGAAAAGATGGGAGACGATGCGCTATAAGAACTATAGACTACGTGAAGATGGCAAAGCTACGCAAAAGCATGGGCAGAAAGAAGATAGCTCGTCCGTCTCTTGAGGAAAATGGGCGAGGGAGGAGACATTTGGGGGGTTCTAGCATGGTCAGTTTTGGCTATAGGTAAATGGTGTAGTCAGTATAGATGTGGGAAGCTGCGCAAAAAGTGAAGGAAGAAAGAGCAAGTAAAATAGCGAGGTAAGTGCTCACATAGGGGCCGTAGGGAGTGACTAAACTTGACCAACATGTTAGCCAAGTACTTTAGATTTTGAGAGAGAAGAAAGAGGGTGGTGCAATAGGGGGAGTATCCGTCTGCTCGTTATCAGGAGGCTCGTTCCGATCCAGTTCACTATGCCGAAGGAAGCAAAACGTGCTTGACTGATCAGGTTGATAAGTACTTACGAAGGGGCGAATTTGCTGAGGGGCCTGCGGCGACGGGATATGTGGTTGCGCCCGCTTTTCCTAGGCTACGAGATATAGCGGGCCCGACCACTACCACGGGTCAGATACATCAAGAGGGAGAACACGAGAGAGTGATAGGAGTGAGCCGAGGAACATCGGGACTTACCTTTTGAGCAACACGATTGCTCAGCCCGGTGACGAAGTAGTAGGCTCACCTGCATGGTTAGTGGATCGCACACTATGAAGGGAGCATTTAGCCAAATTTAAGCAGAAAGGGAAGGGGGATGCCCACCTGGCCAAGTTGTAACTATAACCGGAGGGGAGCGAAGTCGGAGACTTGCCTATTGGCCAGTGCGTTGTTCATCCGGTTGAGCATAGTCTGTGGCGAAAGCGGGAGAGCAGTTAACCAAGCTACTGGGCTGCAGTCGGTAAACTATTTGGTTTGGCCTAAACGGCGAAGGCTGCAGCTAATGCTTTCGTTGCAACTGGGATACTTTACCGACTGTGCACGGAGCTGCTACAGACACTTGACGCCATCACTAGGAGAGGCTATGTTTCCAATGGCTACATGTGAAAGTTTTTCTCGTGCTTGACTGTTGCGTATGGTGGTTGCGGGCCTATATATTGGATGGGACACCGCTTATTCTGCTAACAGGTGTAGCAATTAGTTAGCCGCACGCTTGGAGACTCTTCGGATGTCGGGCTCACTACCTACCTGCTGACCAGGGAAGCGAGCTGTGGAGATTGCAGCTTTGTCTTTTGGCTGATGCGCCCCTCATCCAACCAGCCTGTGCAGTAACAAGTCAGCCACGGAATAAGAGGCTTACCTATTTGGTTGGGGAACTGCCCACCCGCTGGTTGGACAGTCAGAGAGCAAGCCGCGTGGGTTGGAGATTTACCTGTTAGGATGATTAGCGGCCCATCCCATTTAGGTGGAAGAAGTTAGGAGGCGGCTGGAGGGCAGAAGACATACCTGTCGGTTGAAGTATTGTCATTCGAATGCCAGTGCTAGAGGCAGGGGAGTAGGCTGTCAAACCACCGGTTTATCTGCTAGGCCGGCACAGAGCTCGGCGCGTCGAGTAAGCCACAACAAACCGACAGTGAGAGTGCAGTCTAGCGAGTGGCCAGTGCACTTTGGGTCACGAGTTTGGCGGAATGACCTGGACTAATTGAAGGGCAGGAGTTGTGAGAGAATATCAGCAGAGCTTGGGGACTCACCAGTTAGCGGATACATTATTCATCCCATCGGCTGCCTACCTACCTGCGGGTCGGCACGCTGTTCGTTGGTGAACAGAAGAGCGGCAGAGGAGCAGGCCACGGAGACTGAGGACTTTCCTGCTAACTATGGCAGGCTGCTGCTGGCTGCTATTGGCTACTATCGACGACTGATGACTGTTGTTGGCTACTATCGACGGTTGTTGGCCGTTGTTGGCTACTGCAGGCCATGGCAGGCTGTTGCATATTGCCTCATACTGCTGCTGACTGTTACAGGCTGCTATGCGACGACGATTGGGCTGAGGAGAGGTGTTGAAACTCAGAGAGGTGATCAGACTTTACAAGCAGGGAGTTATTGCCGCGATTCGAAGGATCGTCAGGGAGCCAATAACCGGCGGTTTGATTGCAGTTTCGACCAAGCTGTTGCAGTTTGGCCATCATTGCGAGGCCCTCAGGCGCATAAAGATACCAAGGCCCTCTCCTGGGAGTTGAGTTTGTCCCCCTCCTGTATCCCGAGAGTTTAAAACCCCTTATCTTTTGCCATTCTTACTCTAAGTCTAGTCCTGATCTGAGAGGAAGGCGACATGTGGGATTGCAACCCGTAGGACCGCAGCAAGACTCTGTGGGGATTCAGCCCACCGATTGCGGGAACTCTGCCGGAACTCAAGAAAAATTATGGAGGCAGGGAACCGAAAGGTAACCATTTCTTTCCTTCTATAAACCTGATTATAACCCATACTTGTATTCATTACTTTGTTTGATTGAATATGTTGCTTGTACCCCTATTTTGACTTTCAGGACATGATCAGAGTAAATAAAGGAATGTATGTATAATGCGGTTTCAGTCTTGGTTGTCTGACTGAAAGTAGATTGTGGGATTGCATCTGGGGGAAAGGTGGGAGGAAGGCAGTATTGCATGTTTGACTGGGTCAACCAAAGGCTAGGCCAGTTCCATAAGTTTGGGAAGACTTAGTGCTATGTTTATTTTTGAATTGCAGAGAGTCAGACTATTCTGTAAGTTTGGGTGGTCTGGTTGCTTTGATTTGTGAGGGTTGACTGTGAATGACTTTTCGGGGACCAAGCATGTTCCATAAGTTTGGGTGGCTTGGTCACATTGTTTACTTTGGGTTTCTTTCAGTTTCTTTCTGCTTTGGCTTTAAGAGAATGAACCAGACTGACGCCCAAACATGTTCCATAACTTTGGGTGGTCTTGGTCCAATGTCACGTACATGTTGGAACCAAAAGGATATAACTTGACTATACTTTACTATTATGCTATCTATGAACAGGCTAGTAAGATAGGGTTCCATAAGTTCGGGTGGTCTTACTATAACTTATCACCAACTCAAGAGAGTACTAATTAAAAATAAACTTGTGGTACGAAGGGGCATACTGAATCTTGAGTTGAAGATGATCGGTTCAATTATATGCTACCTCAAAAGATTAAGTGCAAATAATTATATAAAGTTGTGATACTTAAGCAGTTCAGGGCGACTAGGGTGGCCTAGTCATATGCCCAAAGAAGAGAAAAGTTGTTGTGCCCTGTGTTTGTGTATATTCCATGACTGAGCTAGACATGTTCCATAAGTTTGGATGGTCTAGCTTTATGCCTTATGTAAGTTGGGTATAAAGGGATAAATCAGTGAAAGACTACGAACTATTGTTTGATAAATTTGACTTTGGGGATGGTGTGAGTACTTACCTTTGTGGTTTGACCTGCATGTGATTGAGTGAGGCTACTACTTAGTCTGAGTTTCAGTTTGATAGGTAGTTGCTTTAGTTGCTCGCCACATGCTTGAGCCATGGGAGTTAGTTTCAATTCCTGCATTTTCTGAGCTAAAGTTATTTTACTTAGGTCAATTTCTACATTTTCAAGGAACTTTTATTATACTTGGTCTTGTATAAATCTTGGTAAGTCACTTTCTCTTCGGGAAGCGCTGCCGAAATTTCTACGAAACCAAGGAGTTAGCCAGATTTTGTCTTTTTAAAAGTTCAGTTTGTCTGACTTTTATATATGACTTAGTAAAAATTTGAAGAGTCTGCTTTTCTAAAGGGAGTGATGCCCATTTTTTTGCTAATTCAGGGAGTTAGACAAAATTTGACTTTGAAAGGTTGAAGATTATTTTTGTTTTTATATTTAGGCTGATATAAATTATGGAAAGACACGGAAGCGCTGCCGAAATTTTCTTAGTTTAAGAGGAAATATAATGCATTTTGACAGGTGGTGATTCTGGCGGCCCACTCTGTACAGAGGAGACTCTGTCAGGGTCTACCTTTTTCTAGGCACTTGCTTAAAGGTAGTCTTAGACTTAGTTAATTAAGATGATTTGAGTGAGATCGTGATATGAGAATTATTCTCTATAGACTTATAGATTTAGCTTGGGGATTGACCTGTCTTGCGTCATGTGTGGGCCAACTACAAAAGTACTCCAAATTCAGTGAGTTTTCACTCTAAAAAGAATGCGTGAAAAAACCTGAAAATTAGAGTACTTGTAGATTTTGTTGTGATCTTTCCAGGAAAAACACTAAATAAATTCAAAAAAATCATTCCAACTGCGAAATAGATCGCGGCCGCAATTTGACCCATATTTCAATTTTGTCATTCAGTCTCTCTCTCTCTCTCTCTCTCTCTCTCTCTCTCTGGTAGCCCCCCGCCTCTCCCTCTCTCTCTCTGTTTCTCTCTCTCACTCGTATCAACAAATGGAACAAAACTCTCTCTCTTTCTCTCTTTCTCTCTCTCTCTCTCTCTCTCTCTCTGGTAGGCCCCCCGCCTCCCTCTCTCTCTCTCTCTCTTTCTTT